AAAAAAATAAATACAAATAAGAAAGAATGCCTTACCAACGGGAAATCGCAATTTACAACAGGCACCCCAAAACAACAAAAACAACAACAACAAAAGCCATGTTAAAAAAAAATTAAAAACTGCACAAACAATTTTCAGTTGAGCGGCCATGTAGAAATTTGCAATGCTGGCCAGACAACTGCGACGGCGACGCCGACGGCGACTGCTGCTGCGACGGCGACTGCGGATGTTGAATGTTTGGATGTGTCGGTCTGTTGTTGTTACTGCTGCCGCTGCTGGCACACAAAAGGCAACAAGCGTACACTGGGAGAAACACACTAGCATTAATGAATTAGTGCATTTACAATCAACATTCAAAAAGAAAAGAACAACATTTAAAAGAAGAAGACTTAATACCCTTGCAGACCGAACGTTATCGTAATGCTCATAATGCCTTGCTCGTATCTAATAAGCACAGGGAAAATAGTTAACGCCGATTTTGGTTAAGATATCTTGAAAAACAATAAGTTTTTCATACAAGAAACTCATTTTCAACCGATCTTTCCTATGGCAGCTATATGATTTAACGTTTCAATGTAGATAACATTTTGTATATATGTAGGAAGCATAGTGAAACATATAAATGACAAGTTTTGGAAAGATGTCTTGATAAACAATAATGTTCCATACAAGTACTTAATTTTCTATCTATCATGACAATAGCTTTAAAACTTTGAAACTAGCTCGTATAGAAACAGACGGACGGACATGGTTACAGCAGCTCGGTTGTTGATACCGATCAAGAATATATATACTTTATGAAGTCGGAGATGACTCCTTCTATGCGTTACTCATTTCGAGACAAAAAGGCAACAAGCATACACTGAGAGAAACACACATTTAATGAATTTGAAACAAACTTTCAACCAAGAAGAACACACAAAATATTGAACATTAACCAAAATGAAAATAAGCAAAAAAAAAGAGAAAATCAAATAAAGTTATAAACTAACGAATACCCTATAAAATGGAATGCTTAGCTTAGCACAAAAACTATGACCATGGTTCGGTGAAAATTCTTGCATCTGTTGCCTGATCAAGCGCCGGCTGCAGGCGGTGCACGTAGGTGGACACCGGTGGACGACCGCGTGGCCAGAGCAGCACGGCGGCGCCCACGGGATGATGATCCGCGCCCATATGCTGATACTCTCGGCGGGGCGGGGGTGCTGCATGCACCTCGCGCCGGCAATTGGGGCAGACGTTGTTGCAGCTCAGCCAGCGCAAGATGCAGTTCTTGTGAAACAAATGTCCGCAGGGCAGGCGGTGCACAATCAAGACCTCGTCCTCGTCGTTGGCCATGTCGAAGCATATGGTACAGTTGGAGCTGTTCGGCAGCGGCTGCTCCACAGTCCAAAGTCCATAGCGATACAGCAACTCTTTGATCTTGAACATTGTTGAGCCTCACAGGGATTGAGCTGGCATCGGTGGGGATTGAGTACTCTAAGATTTCGCTATTTTCCTAAAAACTTAAGCAAATATATGTATATACTCTTCATATATGTATATATATATATATTTTTTTATCAAATTGTTGTTGTTTATTTGTTTTTGGTATTCTGATTTATGTGAGATTTAAATTTGAATGAAACACGAAAGTTTTTCATGGAACATGTGATAAGGTATCTTTTTAGATGCCTTTAAGAATAAGACATTTACAACCGCATAAAGCATATTTATTTCGAAACGATTCGATTTCATATGATTCGATATAGTCTTATCCTTTTCTTTGTTTCTCTGCAGCTGAGTTTCTCAGTTTAAAAGCTTTCGATTAGTAGTAAATTAAGTCTTTGTATAAAAAACGGTTTAGTTTTTCAAGCTTTATGCTTCTTACATGTATTAAAAATCTTATCAGCATCGTAGAACTATATTATATAGCTATATAGGATGAATCGATCATAAAATTGACTATTCATATGGAAAACTTTTCAGTTTTCGGAGACATCTGGACCAAACTCAGCAGTTATACGTTTAAATCTTCTTCTAGCATCTTTGCAACAACAAATCAAATCGAACTGTTATAGCATATAATATGGCTTAACTGGGATGACTCGATATAAATATCAACGATATATCGACATAAAGCATAAGCAGGAGGAGCTTCTAGTTTATTTTTGAAACAGGGCAATTACAAATTCAATTACATCAATCTAACAATAACATCTTAAATCTTAGATAAAGTCATTTTATCGCGTGCACAAATCGATTATTTCTAAGCCTAAAACTCCCAAAACAATCGAAGCTTAATATTAACATATTTACAAGCTTATTCGACTCTTTGGTGCATTGAGCTTATCTCTGATTTCTCTCAGTGTAGCATTAACAACAATATAATGAACTACACGCAATGGGAAGCACAGCAGATGCAGTTTGTCTACCTGGAAAATAACAATCAAATGTCAGCCAATGCCCAATGCCAGACTGGGCAAAGCTCAGCTAGCTTCAGCTCCAGCTTCGACTCCGACTCCAGCTCCAGCTGCAGCTCCATCACGCTTTGTCACACATGTGTTAATGGTCGCCGGAAGTGAGGCGCCCCACCAAAATGGCGACTCGGGCAATGGCAGTGGCAGCAGCAGCGATTCTCGGATTGTTGTTGCATGACACTCGAATCTGAGATTTGCTTTGCCGCTCGGCGCGCTTTAATTATTATTATTATCTTTTTTTTTACTTGCTGGGGCCAAGCATGCGCCGCCAGAATTGGCCAATGCGGCGGGAAAATCACTCGTCGGCACGCGATGTCAAATGGATGCAACCCTCCCAGCCTCAAGGTGTACCGTGGGCGGGACGGCAGCGGGGGCGGGAGCAGGGGCATTGCATTCTTTTGTGCACACAATGCTCATGCATATTTATTAAGTCGACGCGCTTTTGTATTTATTGTGCACACCAACTAACTAGCTAAATATATATATATACATATATATAGTATATATATTATGCACTCAATTTCCTGACTGCCCACTCCATGCCACAGCTGCCCCCTTCCCGTTCCTGCCTACAAAACACGCCCACCTGCTTTTGCTTGGGGCATCAACGTCATCCTCCTCGACATCGTCGTCAGCGTCGTCTGCGTGCCAAGCACAAAAATTAAATTATTTTAGTTCATAATTTTCAAATTATAAAAATTCAACTGGAGCTGGTGGAAAAGTTGAAAAGCTGGAAAAGTTGCCACACTTTATTGTGAATTTTCTGTGGCCTGCGGCGTCGTTCGCAAATGCAATTTGAACATTTTTCAAAAATATTTAGAAAATTAACGCAAAGTTGTGGAAATGTTGCGTCTACATCGCACGCTGTTAGTTTAGCTTGTTCCATCTAAAAACATTATGCTAATTTTTATTTCATTTTCGGTGTCTGGCATAGGTAAATTATGAGCCATTCAAGAACATGAGAATGTTGCCGGACTTTCCACGCCACTTGGACACTGAAAATGTTCCCGCCAAGCAGATGTACAAAATGGAAAGTCGTTGCTAACAATACATTTAGAGGGGGTGCTAACAGTTGGCTGGGGCTGGGGCGTAGAAATGCCAAGAATATGTGAACATTATGTATGAAGTATGATGAGTTGATACAGTTGAGTCTAGTTGTGGGTGCATTAGAATAAACCCTTCTTCTAGAAACACACAAATTGGTAAAAAGGCGCTCCCTATTTAACTGGGCTGCAAATAAATCTTATTTGAAGCGGCTTGGTTAACGCTTCGAACCAGCGCCCTTCCTTAACGTTTGGTTCGTGAACCTGGTTTTTCACATACGTGAGTTGAGTCTATCTGTGGGTGCATTAGAATAAACTCTTCTTCCAGAAGTTTTTTTAAAAAGACTGTAATTTATTTATCTGTAATTCTGTAATTTATCTGTAATTCGATTTGCGTTTCGTGAGCCTGTTTTTCGACTTACGTGACAAAGTTTTTTTTCACTTCTATGATCCTGGTTTTTAATAAACGTATTTAAATAAATATAAATGTGATACAATTTTAATGAAACAATTCCAATTTTTTCAATAAAAGCTGACATATTCACTGTAGTTCTCTTATGTGATAGGAGTCCACTCTAAAACGAGGTTTTGGGAAATTCCACCAGCAAGTGTGGAAAATCGGGAGAAACGTTTGTATGAAACTTTTTCGCTTGATCTCAAACTTATTTTCAAAGATCTTTGTTCAAATTCATCCCTTGTACTAAATATGATGTCGGCATCAAAATTCTATCTACATTGTGCGGTTAGATAAATGCAATGGTTGAGACTATGTTTAAATACTTTGGGGCCCTCAAAAGTTTTACCTTTTTTTGAATCAAACTATTTTTAAAAATTATTAAAAGGTAATATAGTGCCGGTTCGGTTTCTATTCAAGTCTTTTTTTGTGCCACTTCTTTGGTTTAAGGTTCGCTTTTTGGTAAAAAAAAGCTAATAAAAATATTTGGCTTTCGAAACCCATTTTGCAATCTTGATATCTATATCCCTATATATTGATAGATATCTAGAGGCAACTGTACCAAAGAGTCGCCCGTGTGGTTGGCGGGCTCCAGAATACCTCCACAGCATGTCATCGCTTGTCGTACGAGGCGACTAATAAAGACACGCGGGTCTTTCAGAACCGGGCTTCTAAACAAAATTGGTAATAGCCGCGTTATTGGGGTTACGTTATGAGATTTGAAGCAATTACTCAGCGTTGTCGTAGTTAGAAAAAGAATATTGAAAAGCAAATGGTATATATAAATGAATATAGAGGTGCGAGGGAATGTATCGAGGTGTATTTATTTAAAATATTAATATCTAGATAGTTTAATATCTATAAAAAATGATATACCATTTTCGATTTTTTCCTTTCTCGACAAAAAATATCTTTAATAATATAGTTACAATTCGAAATCTCTAAAAATATATTTAGCTTTTTCTCTCGTGGAAATATAAGATCTATAATAATGTAGTTAATATAAATATATTTAACAAGTCAAAAAAAATTTTAAATTCTAAAATTCATAAAAAATAACATATTAATATATTAAAATTTTCCTGTCTTGAAAATAAAATATCTGTAATAATCGTGATAAATATGATATAGCAGCACTTGCTGTACGCATCAAAGACCGACAACGTCCGCCCCCGAATCGTTGCCGATAGCGACTAAATCCACAGAAACTCCGGACGAACTCCATCAGGGTGTTCGTGGGCTCCTTTGAGGCGGGCTGGTGCCAGCACGCATGTCCTTAAACAAGGCATTGAATAATATTTTTGGGGGGGCTCGTTGGGTTTGTGGCTTCACTAAGGCAGCGCCATCTGGCGGCGTGAACTGCCCTGGATTTGTCTATGCTTTTGTTGTTGTTGTTGCTGCTGCTGCTGCAATTTGCACAATAAAAAAATACAAATAAAAATAAAAATTATAAACATGAAGTAAAACGCAAAGGTGAACCGAGAAAGAAATCACGTAACTGTCAAATATCTCTTCATATCTCATTTTATGTTGATCGACTGTGGGAAAAACTGGCGAGCGAGCGCGATCCGAACAAAGTTTGTTGTTGTTGCTTTTGTTGTTGAACTGAAACAGATCTTGGCTAGCAGATAATGCCGCAAATTCACACATGTCTGCCAGATTATGCTGCGAACTGGTATAATTTTTATGGAACTCTGTGGGTTTCGGTTGGGTCTCCGCCTTCGTCGCCGTATCCGTCTCAGCTGTGGGTGCGTTTGCAGCATTTTTGGCAGTCGGCGTTGGGAGTCACGTTTGGGTGTTGTGAGTGTTGTTGATGATCCCAGTCATTTATTCCAAGAAGCGGGCCAGCTACTCGGCTGACTAGAATTCGTTAGAGTTTTGCCTTGGGGCGTACTGATTAGCACAGGTGCTGCTCGTCGGTTTATCTGGGTGACTTTCGCCAGCTGTTCGCATGTCTTGGGATTAGCACAAATCGCATTTCTAATTGAACAACTTGGCTTATCATAGCATTCCCAGTCCGGTGCCACAGAAACAGCTCTATCCATTAGCTGGCCATTGCAATGGAATGCACGGCACGCTGCGCTGAGCAGCGACCAGAGATACATCGAGCGTATCATAACCGGATCGGAGCGTGAACTAAAACCCAAAATGCAGTGCAGCGGGCGGGAGACTTTGCCAGCTAGCTCCTCGCTGGAACTGGAGTTCACTGGAGCGCAACGCGAACCCCGACGCGACGGGGCAGCATTATTAATGGACGGGTCCACGCTTAGATCGCTCCGAAAATTGCCCGTCTGCGTGGCCAGTGCAAAAGCTGAGAGAGATCTCTTAACGCTGATAGCCACGGTCAAGTTCACGACGTCAACGGCGACGGCGACCGCGACGCCGACAGCGTGTCATTAGCATGTAACGCGACCAAATTGAAAATGTAACGGATCGCCGAGAGCCGTTGGGAGCTGCTCATAAAGTCGGTTGCCGTCAGCTCGTGATAAGCGATCTAGAAAAACTTACCCTAAATAGTTTATTGATATGCCACTAAGAAGGACTCGCAGGACTTTGGCCGAGCACCTGCCTGCGGCGGCAGACAGCAGCGCCCTCTTTGGCTTAAGCATAATTAAAAGGCAGCTCCCATGACTGGCACTTTGTTGTTGTTCTCGTTCTTCTTGTTGTTGTTGTTGTTGTTGCTGTTGTTCTCGATCACCTTGAAAGTAAAAGTCACCTCAATGCATTTTTATGTTAATCGCCAAGCGAGTAAAAAACACGAGCAAAAACTGCCTTGCGCGCAAAAAAGCATTAAATTAAAACAAACAAATAAATGAATAATAAGCTAAGAGAATGCGCCGCCAGAGAGCGCCAACAATTTGCATGCACACACACACACACATAGACGTCCGATCGACAGCAGCGTCTGGTTGTGTGTGTGCAAGTGAGAGAGCGTGCTTGCGAGAGAGCGCGCCAATAACAGCTGATCAGCTCACAAGTTATGCTCACAGTTAAGTTTTAATAAGCATGCAAAGTGTTTATTAAACATGGCAGCTACGTCACATGCTAATCAAACCGATTCCCAATTAACTTTATCGTTCCACTTTTTATGCCGATAATTATTGCTGTAATGAACCGCGCCGAGCTCAGGCTCGCTGTTTGTTTATGTAATTAGGCGATGCTTGTTTAGCATGCAATACAATTCAAATTTGTTGTCTAAAACATGTTTTACACTTTGGTTTTTTTTTTGCTTTCCTGTGGCGCACAAATTCAAATTTGAAAATTTACGCGTGCTGAAAAAAGCTTTGAACAGAGTTGAAAATCATCTTAAAGAGCGAGCCAGCTGGCGTACGCTCTTCTCGCACTGGAAGCAGCCGCTGTGTGTATGTGTGCTCGCTGTGTGTGTGTGCTTGTGTCTCTGTCTGGCTGTTTGGTGGGCGTGGCTCTGTGCTCAGCGTCGGCGTATAGCAAATGCGCAGACGCTGCGCTCTGAGAGTGGGCGTTGCCAGAGCGACGCAGTCGCATTGAGCAGGTGACTGGAAGGAGCGAGATGGCGTTATGTGCGCCGCATGCCTGCGAGCGAGACGAGCATAAACAAAATGGCTGCTATCATTCGCCAACTGCCGATAGATGGCGCCAGTGCCGGTATTTGGAGCCCAGCTGCTATTGCTGCTGTTTCTGCTGCAGCTGCTGCTGCTGCTTCTGATGTTTTGGCCCATTCGCCAACTGTAAACTGTTTGGCGCGCTCGCTAAGCGATTTGGGTTAGGAGTGTCGTCGGCTTGGACTACGTACGGCCATTGCTGCTGCTACGGAACTTCTCGGCTTGCTGCCCCCGGCCTTGTAGGCGCGCATTTCCGTGCCGGCCACCGACAGTTGAGCAATTTTTCACTCGAGCACAAAATGCCGCCTTGCCGATTTTACACGCTACGCTGGCTGCCACCAACTGTGGCACAATATTCCGGGTGCAGGGACTAAAGTGCATTTTTAGTTAGTCTTGGTGCACTGCGTGGGGATATCAGGATGTTCTTCTTCTTGTTCAACTGCTGTTGCTGCTGGTGCCATTTTTTCTTCTTCTTTTGCTTCTTCTTGGCGGGGTCGAGGGTCGTCTGCTCAATAATTTGAACATTGTTGCCATAATGAAAGCTTTGCTCTTCATTTAAAGGCAGCCACGTCCTGCACAATGCGCACTGCACTGCACGCCGACGCCCGTGTAAGGTCCTTTTTGTGTCCGAGACTTTGTAAAACATGCTTCCTCTGCCGGCGACGACGCCACGCAGCAGTTTGCGCAATAAAATTTGCATAATTTTAAATGTGCGTGTGTGTGTGCGTGTGTCTCGACTGTCTCGCATATCCTTGCTGGCATATCCTTACGCATTGTCTACCGATTGCTGCACACACAAAAACAAATGAGTCTCGCGACGGGGCAAAACAAAACTGCAGCAATCGCTGCCCACAGCTTTAACTCAATTTTGAAGCAGCTACAGGGGCTGCGAAGGGGGCGAGGGTGAGGGGCTGGCGGGCACTAAAATTTGCGTGCTGAGGGAATAAAAACAAAGACATAAACACTAGCTAATCCCAAGTAAGAATAAATGAGAATTATTATAGCTACAAACTAAATTAATGAGACCTAATGGAAAAACACGCATGACATTCGCTCAAAGTACACTGCAAAAAAAAGAGGTTTACCAAAATTATGAAAAATGAAATATGCTTAAAGTAGTATGAAGCACAATTTTATATAATGTTTATATTAAGCAGCCAATTATCTCATTTGATATATTTATAAAATTTTATAATATTTAGTTAATTATTTATTTTTATTATTACTATGTTTTTTGTCATGTTGCCCTGCTTCTTAGTTGTGGCAACCTACTTATGTTGTTCATTAGACATGCTTATTGGAGCTATTAAAATGAATCCGGGACAAACTATAAAAGTCGAACCCTTCAAACGAACCGTCAAAGTTCGTTTCGTTTGTTCATTTTTTCTCAATCTTTTTTTTTTATTTATTTTGCCTACTTTTACCCAACGTTCTGTCAAAGTTTTGGGTTATATTTTTTGTAGTTGAGTCTTGTTATTGTTATCAACATTAAATCAAAGCACAAAGACAACAACAATTACAAAAGGCTTTAGCTTGTGCATAACAATAAAAAAAAAGAAAAAAGAAAAAAAAAAGAACTGAATGAATCGGAAAACATATCTATAATGGCGCGCACCAACAGCCAAAAATGCGAGCAGCAAAAAACGAGGCAGCACAAAATTTACAATGTCGTCGGTTTCCGTTTCAGCGGGAGCGGCAGGGAGCAAGGAACAGCGAGGGGGGGGGGGCGGGGAACACTGGCTGGGTGGGTGGTTTGGGCACTGGATGAGCGCCACTCTATGAGGCAGCTTGGGGGCGTGCCGTTGCGTTGCGTTGCGTTGCTTTGGTTTTGTTGTGGCAATAAAATACATCATAACGGTATCATAAGCGAGCGAACAAAGCGAAAGGCGATACACACACACACACACACACGCACACACAAAGCGAAAAATAACAACAACAAGAACAACAAAAAAGGCAACGAAAATCTGTGAAAAAAATCCATTTGCAGGGCGGCGACGAAAAAAAAATATTCAAATTTTGTTACGATGCGCAAAAACAAACACAACAACAACAACAAGTACAACAACAACAGCAACAACAATGGACAAAAAAACAAAGCCTAAAAGAAACAACTGAAACAGAGGCGCGCTATTATGACAACAACAACGACAATGGCGGCCACAGGAAATAGTCACACACACACACACACAGACAGCGCACGCAACTCACACACATATATATTTATATATATATATTTAATGTATATGAAAGGGTTTCACGTACCGTTAGTTGTCTCTCCTGTTGTCCCGTGTCCCGTTTTCCGTGCGTGCTGCAGCAAATAAAATATTAAAATTGGTTCAATGAATTTCAATAACAACAACAAACACGAAATCAAAACTAAATTTCACTTTATTGATAACGAAACACAAGACAGGAGGGGGGAGGGGGGCTGACTGATTGCAGGACTGAGGGGCATGAGTTGTCGGTCGATGTGGTTATGTGAATTCCACTACTGCTGCGACTTGTGGAGCCCTCCCCACACCCCTCACTCTCCTCCTTCCATCACACAGCACTTGAAATATGTGAATGTTTGATGATATTGTGTGAAAGTGTGTGTGTGAATATAGCAGAGGCGTGTGTATGTTGGGGAGAGGGGACGAGGTTGGAGCCTTCTAAGGAATGTAAAAGGTTGCGATGATTTTAGCATTAACGATAAGAGGTTATCGTTGTGTTAGATAATAGGCCTAAGATAGACAAACGTATTTATTATTTAGCATTTGAAATCTTATCTTTTAGTTGATATAATTAAGATATAAATATTTTAATTTAGATATATAGATATATATATTTTTATTAATATATATGATGCTGAGTGGGTGTCGGAGTGTCTAACTATATAGCTCCATAATAATATATCTAACTATATATCTATAATAATATATATCTAGATCTAGCCATGACTGTTTGTCCGTCCGAACATCCATAAGTATAAACGCATCGATATCAGCGACTGTAAGAGCTAGAGCTTGCAATTTTGAGATTAGCTTTTCCTATTATTCGTATAGATCAAGTTTTATTAACGACAACACCATGAAATCGATTAATATCGATGCCGAAATCCTGTTTGTATGCATATTACGGTTATAGAAGCTAGAGATACCATAATCGCTTCTTAGACTCTCCTATAGTATCCAGATGCAGATTATTTCTCTTTTTGAAAAGCTCTCCCGTTCCACGCTCAACCATAAGTTTTGTTTGAATGTCAATAGATGTTTAGTAAAAAAAAATAACTTATTACCGAGCTCCCATGTCTTCAAAATAGCTTAGTCTGGTTTAAGTGGAAAGTTTTCAATTTATATATAAACTTTTCGTATATTTTTAAAGATAACGAAAGTATATTGACATTAAATATCCATGGGAAGTAATTTATATCGAACAATTTTTGCTATCTTTATAAATATAGCAACGGTTCAATTATTATATTTCGTAAATTTAACATGTCATACTTTCAATATTGTCTGTCTCCCCTTTCTCTCCTTTTGGGCGCTTTAGCTACGCCTATGTGCTTTGCAAATACTCACATTTGTGTGCACATGTATGTGACGTAGCCCGCTTATGAAAACACATACACTCACGCAGATACAAATCTGCACACAACTGTCTGTGTAAGTGTGCGTGTGTGTGTGTGCTCGTACAATGCCGTCAATCTTAACCCTTCTGCAGTCGTGCGTGCTGAGTTCTGCCCCCGCTCACCGCTCAGAACTGATTTGCATGTTGTGCCATTTCAATGCGCTGTGCACTTTTTTTAGGCAAATCGATAAAGTGCGTTGATTTGGCAACCCTGTCAAACGTTGTTGTCACATTAATGAAAAGAAGCTCTCAATCTAAACGATGATTAAACGAATATAAATAAATGCCTGGCTGCTAAAATGATTGCCATCTACAAGATTTTACATAGTTATGTGCACATATATACACGGATATATGCGTGTGTGTATGTGTGCACATACGCATACGCACAGGGTTTTTCTATTTGGCGACAGTGTCCACAACAAACACGCACACACACACACACACACTCAAAATGGCAACATGGACTGCCGCAGAAGTTTGCTCCCAATTTTCCTTGCCCAACTGGAAATACCTACAGGGGGCGGCTTGGGGGTGTTGAGTACAAGACAGGCAGACGAACGTGCGGCATTTGCTGGGGGTTGAAAGGACGCACACAACACACAGACGCACACGCACGCATACCAACGCACGTTGGGAGCGACAAATAACAAACAACACACAAGCTGAAAGCAGTGCGGGGGGCCAGCTCCCATCGGGGGAATGTCGCTTATTTGCATGGCAAGGTGTCCCAAACCGTCCACCTTCTTTTATAGTATTTGAGTTTATTGTATGCGTGAATATTCAAATGCTGCGCGCGTGTGTTAGTGTGTGTGTGTGTGTGTGTGTGTGTGTGTGCGTGTCTGTGTGGGGGTTGCCACAGCAACAGGAAATAGACGCATGCGTATTGCTCGCGTTGCCGTTTTTTTGCTTCCGGTGTGTGTGTGTGTGTGTCCCTGTGTGTGCGAGTATGTGTGTTTGTGAGTGAGTGGGCTGCCCATTGGGGAGCTGTGCACGTTTGGCCTGCGAAACAAAGCAACGCCAAATAATAAATAATTGCTAGTTGGCATTGAGGTGTAGCAACAACAAAATACGTTACCCCATGTGCCCTTAAAACATTTCACCCCTCCCACACACCCTAGGCTCAGCCTGAACAGCTCAGCATTATATTATATTTATTTTTTTTGTTGCTCCTTTTGCAATTTTCTTAATTAAAGCTTATTTGGCAAATGTGCGGGAATCTGCGGCATTGATTGAAAAACAAGCGACACACACGGCGTATACTTGATATTGCCCAAAATGCCCGCCCGACTTACTTTAAATTGCAAATTCAGATTTGTAGCTTATCGATTTGTGGTCGCTTTAAAGTCTTTACTCAACACCCAATCGGCTCGTGTGTGTGTGTGTGTGTGTGTGTGTGTATGTGTGTTGTCATTTGAAATGGCGTGTCTGTCTTTCTGGCGTTGGTAGGCGACAGGGCGATGGGGAGGGGGTGGAAGAGTTCGGTGCTAGTTGCAACCTGTCTACATAAATACTGTCTGCGATAAGGCCTTTGTTTTTGTCATAAATCTCATTTTATGATGAATTGATATGAGAGAGAGTAAGAGCGAGAGAGAGAGATAAAGGAAGAGAGACAGAATGCAGCCAGACATAAATTGGATACACACAGCTCTAGGAGCCAGTTGTCTAGGAGGCGAGGGGTGCGGTAAAGTAGCTAAGGGGCACGATTGGCTGATGTTTGAGTAGCTGCAGATTGAAATGTTGCCATAAAATTACATAGCTACCTAGATTTTATGAGAAGACAAAGCGAGTAAAAGAAAGCAGAAAGAGAGAGCGAGATGGAGAAAGAGTAAGAGAGAGAGGGGAAATAAAAGTATGAGTGATAAAACTGGCTTGGGTAAAACTGTGCGAAATTTGGGCACATTCTAACAGTAAAAAATCGATAAAGAAATTCAAGGAATATTTAATGATTATTTGATATTTTGGGTAACAATCTTTTGTTATAAAAGTTAAAGAATTCATCCACGTTTTATTTATTTATTATTATTAATATCATTATTGTTATTATTATTATTTTTTATTTTTATCATTATTATTGTTATTATTATTCTTATTATTATTACTATTATTATTACTATCATTATTATTATTATCGTTTTTATTATAATTATTATTATTACTATTATTATTACTATTATTATTATTATTATTATTATTATTATTATTATTATTATTATTATTATTATTATTATTATTATTATTATTGTTATTATTATTGTTATTATTATTATTATTATTATTATTATTATTATTATTATCATTTTTATTATTATTGTAATTGTTATTATTATTTTTATTAACCTAACGTTGTTTTGTATGCCCTTTTCTGAAGGATTAAACTCCGAAGAATTCTTTTTCAGTTGAATAAATGTCACTTAGACAAGAAAACTTAATTAATAATTAATAATAAATATATGGAGAAAAGATTCAAATATTTTTATTTCCATTTGTTATTGATTCAATATTATAGTTATTATATGATAATAATAATAATTTAAAGGAGAATCATATTGGTTTTAAAGGCCTATGAATATTAAAACAAAAGAGCGCAGCAAAAAAAGTTTAATTAATGCATTGATACTTTAATCATTTTATTTCGTTATATAAATTTAAAGACTTTAATTCCAACCTACTTTTATTAATTTCCATATAAATTATTATCACAGAAAAACCTCTATTTCCGCTTTCAAGCGGCTTTTCTAGCCCAGTTCTTAACGTATTCATCTCGCTTGAATGATTGTTTTGACTTCTTTATCTACGTTTCTTGCTGCTGCTGTTGCTTCTTTCTGGTTGCAGCTCTTCAAAATGGCGCACAAATCACACATTGTCGTCATCGAAACAGTTACAGTCTGCATCGCTCCGTCTCTGAATCCGACTCCGTTCCCGTCGCCGTCCCCGTCTGCTTCGCCAACTCGGGCTCCGTTTCCGTCTACGTCAGTGAAAGTTATGCAGAGCAGCGACACAGGATAATGTCTGCCTGTTTGTCTAACTGTCCCTGCCCGAGGGCGTCTCCCGCCATGTTTGTCTGCCTGACGCTCTGTCTGTTGCCCCCACAAATCCCTTGCCCCTGGTTCTGGCTCTGTTGCTGTTTCTGTGTGCATGCGTTTGCACCTCATTTGCATAAACGCTCTGGCAGCGGCATCGCCAAACTTTTGCCCACATTGCACAAAAGAAGGCGGCAAAGAAAAACTGTCGGCAGAGACCAGGCCAGAGCCAGGCCAGAGCCAGGCCAGGCCAACAACTGGGAAGCTGGCAGCGAGTCGAGTGAAAAATGCGCAAACTTGGTAACCAAGTTAGCGCGTTATTTTAACATTTTCCGCTTTGCTGCTGCGCTGCCAAGTGTCTCTCTCTCTCTCTCTCGCTCTTTCTCTCTCGGGAACATTGTTCAAGGACTTTGTACAAATCACAGCCAGTTGAAAATTATGATCGATGTGGCAGCAGCCGTTAGTCGCGGCAAACTTATGCGACGGTTTGTCAGGAAATTTGTTAAGTTTTCCGATTGCGACGCGTTGATTTTCCAGCGCTCGATAAGTACCATGAAAATTTCTAGCAGGCTTAGGACTATCGCAGACTATCAGCAGAGTCGCATGAAAGATACATTTGCATGAAAGATACCGAGCTTTAACTACTCAGGCTGCAAAGCTTCAGTTGAAATTGGGCAGGAAATTCTCTTCTTTGTTTTTCCTATATATTTTATATAATTTGTCCGGAATCCGGCAGAAGCTGCTGGAATTTTCCACTTGCATCACATAAGGCAA